CTGCCAAGCGGCGCGTCGTGATCCGGCAGTGCCCGCCGCGCACGCTCTCGCCCAGGCTGGCCCACCGACAGGCACCTCGGCCTCTACCCCTGTCTTCGGGAGAGGGAGGAGGAAAGGACAGGGTAGAAATGGAGGACGGCCGAAGCAAAAGGGAGGAGAAAGAGGGAGGGATGGGGGGAGGGAAGAAGGGCGGGGGGGAAGGGAAAGGGGAGAGGCAGGGAAACCCCCCACAGCGCTCCTGAAATCCCAGAATGGTCCAAAACCCCACGACTCCCCTCTATCCCCTCATCCCGCTCCTCCTCCTCCTCCTCCTCCTCCTCCTCCTCCTCCTCCTCCTCCTCCTCCTCCCCATCCTCCGCCTCGTCCTGCTCCTCATCCTCCTCCTCCTCCTCCATTTCTTCTCCTCACCCCGACGCCAGCTTTTAGGGCGGGCCAGGCGTTCCACCTTAGACTTCCTCACCATTTATGACTCTGAAGCTTGAATATTGACAACAGTCTCACAGATGGAGGACGGGTCGTTTTCAAAATGTGGCTCTCACCTTAGCGCGGCGCATACTCGTCTTAACAATCTGCAAGAGCTTCACGGATTGAGGGCGAGTGGATTTCAATACGTGCCTCTCACCTTAGCGCCGCGCACTTTCGTCTGACAAATTTGCGAATTTCACGGACTGAGGGCGGTTCCTATTCAAACTGTGGCTCCCGCCTTAGCGCCACGCAGATTCGTCTTAAACAGTTGCAACATGCGGGCGGTTCCTTTTCAAAATGCGGCTCTCGCGTTAGCGCCGCGCGCACTCGTTTTAAAAAATTGCCAGAGTTTCATGGATTCCCATAACGAACGTACCAAACATGGTGTTTTGAAAAGATTCAGGCTTATGAGGGTGCACAAGTTATGTTGATTTGCTGTGTTCAAGTCCCAGGGATGGCGTTCTGGCACGATTCAGGATCAACAGTCAGGTTGATCCGCGGCGTTGGAATCCTGAGAACAACGTTTTGGCATGCTTCCGGGTCTTCAAACAATTGTCTTCCAATGAGGCAGTTCCCTCCGTAACAATGAACCGGTGTATGAGGCCTATGAAGAGGGAGCGTGGAGGAAGGGTTTATTCCAACATCGTTGATGCCCGTTGGGTTTACAGTGGTCCTCATCCTCCTGTTCCTCCTCCTCCTCCTCCTCCTCCTCTTCCTCGTCCTCCTCCTCCTCTATCCCTCCTCCTCCACCTCCTCCTCCTCCTCCTCACTCCTCACTCCTCCCACTCCTCCCTCCTCGTCCCACTCTTCCCCCTCCTCCTCCATCCCTCCTCCGTCACTCTTCCATCTCTCCTGCTCCTCCTCTAGATCCTCCTCCGCCGCCTCCGCCTCCTCCTTTTCTTTTCTCTTTCCTTGTGAATAATTGTTCCCTGTCGCAACCCGAGGCCAGTTTTTTGGGCGGGCCCGGTGTTTCGCCTGAGACTTCCTCACCGCTCTTGACTCTAAAGCTTAAAAGTGGCAACAGCTTCACAGATGGAGGGCTGGTCGTTTTCAAAATGCGGCTCTCGCCTTTGCGCGGCGCACATTCGTTTAAAACATTTGCAACTTTTCACGGATTGAGGGCGGGTCGTCTGCAATATGTGGCTCTCGCCTTAGCGCGGCGCACATTCGCTTTAACAAATTGCAAGAGCTTCACGGATTGAGGGCGGCTCCTTTTCAAAATGTGGCTCTCGCTTTAGCGCCGCGCACCTTCGTTTACAACTTCAAGAGTTTCACGGGTTCCCATCATCAACGTACCAGAAATCGTGTTTTTGGAAGGGTTCAGGACCATGCGGGCGCAACAGTTATGCTGATTCTCTGTGTTCAAGTCCTAAGGATGGCGTTCTGGCACGATTCAGGATCGTCAAGACGCATCAGTCAGGTTGATCCGTGGCGTTGGAATCCCGAGAACAATGTTTTGGCATGCTTCAGGTTTTCAAACGGGTGTCTTCAATTCCATCCATGGAAATGAACCATTGTAGAGGGCCTATGAAGAGGTAACTTGGAAGGAGGGTTTACTCCAACATCGTTAATGACTCTTGGGTTTACACTCCTCCTCCTCCTCCTCCACCTCCTCCGTCCCGATTCTCCATCCCGCTTCTCCCTCCATCCCTCTTCCTCATAGATAACTCCTCCTTGTCGCACCACCTGACGTGCCCGTAGGTTAGGCGGGGCGGTGTGCTGGAGAAAACCATTGAAAGCATCGCCTCGAGGCTGAAAGTTTCCAAGAGTTGCACGGGCGGAGAGATGATGGTTTTCAAAGCGTGGCTCTCGCCTGACGCTGCGCGCATTCGTCTCGGGAGCTTGCCGCAGTTGCACTGCTGGAGGCCGCTGCGCGCCTTCAGCTTGCAAGCTTGCAACATTTAGACTGCTGGAGGCCGGCACGTACTCAGAATGGAGCCAGAACAGTATTCGTACCGTACATCGATGGAAGGCGGTTCCTTCTCAAAAGGGAGTTCGCGCCTGAGACTTGTTTGAGAGCGATGGCCAGAAGTTGAAGACTCTGCAGCAGCTAACACGAATACAGGGTAGCTCCTTTTCAAAGCGGGGCTGCCGCTGGGCACTTCCTCGCATATGAAAACCACGTCGTGTCGCACCCCCTCCATCAAGAGGAGGAGGAGGAGGACGAGGACTAGGAGGGACGAGGAGGAGGAAAAGGAGGAGGACACGAAACCCACGTCGTGTCGCACCCCCTCTGGCTCGAAAGATTGAGGGCGGCTTCCATCAAAACGGAGTTCCCGCCCGAATTGCGAGCCGTTGGGGCGCTCGTCTGTCACTGGGAGTGCTTCGCGCAGTGAAAAAGAGTCCTTGCAGGGATCAGTGAAATGGAACTTGAGACTGATGGGCGCGTTGCAACATCGTTGATGCATCTTGGGATGACTCTGGCCCGTCTCCTCCACCTCCTCCGTCTCCTCCTCCTCCTCCTCCTCCTCCTCCTCCTCCACCTCCTCCTCAGGCTCCGAGCCCGCGCAGGCCCCCCCAGAATGCGGAGTCCCTCAAGAGGAACCCAGGCCGCGATGGGGGCAGCCGTGCCCGCGGGGCAGCCATGATGGCCAGCGTGCCCCCCCGCGGCCGCGGGGGCTGGCGAGCACGCCTGGTGCTCTGGAGCGCGGCGCTGTGCTTCGGCGTCGCCCAGCAGGAGGAGGCGATGGCGGACTCGAGGGAAGCCTTCATCGCCGTCTACAACCCGCAGAACCTTGTCTCGGCGTCGCGGGTCGACGCAGTCTCGAGTGCGTTGAAGAGTATAGGGATCATCGGCTTGCCAGGGATGGGCATCCGTGCCTGGCATGGGGAGCAGCACCATCGCGCAGGAGCCCCTCACCACCACGTCATCCACTTCGGCTGGCCCCGATCGGCGGCTATGAACAATTCTTGCGGGTGCTCCATCTTCCTGGCGACGAAATATTTCAGCGCGAGTAGTATCAGGAGGATCATCCCACCGCCAGCGGGCCTACAAGGACGATGAGGCCTCGTGCATGTTGAGTCGGCCCCCCTGCTGCTGGCACTGCTCGTTCTTTACTACCCGCCTCGGCCGTCGCGCCCAGGAGAAGCGAAGCTCTGGGAGTCTACGTGCAAGCACCTCACCACATGGGCTCGCGAGATCCTACTCAAGGTACCCCACAGATATACGCCAGTGATCATGACGGACCTGAACTTTGGCTTGCGGCGCTACAACCTAGACGACGATGTGGTGGGCGACCACGGTAGCGCCCGCGAGAGCTTCTGCGGCCAGATGTTCCACGAGCTGCTTGACCAGGTGGAGATGACGGCCGTCAATACTCATTGGGACACAGGCAATACATACTTCGGAGTGTGCGGAACCGCCTCGCAGATCGATTTCGCGTGCATCCCCCAGGCGGCCCAGGGTCTTGTGAGATGGACATGTACTTGGAAGCGTACGGGGGAAGCTATTCGAGCGATGAATACGGTCCTGGATCACATCCCTGTTGCAATGAAGTTTCAGTCGGTCGCACCAGTCAATACCCTCCCCCCACGTGAACGATGGGATCGCCAGCGGCTGGCTGGCGCAGTACTCACGGGGGCGGGCAGAGAGGAGTTCCTGGAGGATGTCCACAACGCGTTGCTGGAAATGTCTCCCTCTTTGGATATCCTGGAAGCCAAACCGACGGCGAACGGACACGCGACGTTGACGATGGCGACTGTTAGGCAGGTGGCTCTGCGCCATTTTTCGCAACAACAGATACGGCCAGAATACGAGAAGCAGCTGGAGGAACGAAAGTGGGAATACCTTTTCCCCCCCAAAAAGAAAAAACAATCCGCCGGCCCCCTTGTGGGGCCACCAGGCTGTAGGCGCGGGTTCGCAGTTTCCAGTACAAGTTGTAGCTTGTAGTTTCCAATGTTACAGTTCTGCTTCTTGCTGGTTACTGTAACTAGTTGATTGACCGCGCGAGGGGGGGGGAGGCCCAAACAGCATTTTTTTGCACCCCCTGGGCGCGTTGTCTGAATTGCTGGGGGGCTCGAAATCAACACCCCTCACGCAGATCCGCGGGGTCAGGGTCCAAAAACACAAGGGATTTACCACATTTCTGAAATTCGTTGCCACCCCTCACGCAGATCCGCGGGGTCAGGATCCAAAAACACAGGGGATTTGCCACATTTCTGGCATTCGGTGCCACCCCTCACGCACATCCGCGGGGTCAGGGTCCAAAAACACAGTGGATTTGCCACATTTCTGAAATTCGGTGCCACGGTCAGGGTCCAAAAACACATGGAATTTGCCACATTTCTGAAATTCGGTGCCACCCCTCACGCAGATCCGCGGGGTCAGGGTCCAAAAACACAGGGGATTTGCCACATTTCTGAAATTCGGTGCCACCCCTCACGCAGATCCGCGGGGTCAGGGTCCAAAAACACAGGGATTTGCCACATTTCTGAAATTCGGTGCCACCCCTCACGCAGATCCGCGGGGTCAGGGTCCAAAAACACATGGGATTTGCCACATTTCTGAAATTCGGTGCCACCCCTCACGCAGATCC